TTAGCCTTTTAAAAAATTTTCTTAAGGCTACTTGTGGCCTGGACGGTCTTTTGATTTTACAATCATATCGTCCACATACACTTCGACTTCTTTATGCATCATGTCATGGAGCAAGGCAATCGCTGCACGTTGGTAAGTGGCATTACTGTGCAGCAGTAAGTGCCCCATGGTGTTTAGAAGGTTGTTTTCTCCATGTCTTCTTCTGCCATGAGAATCTGATTATAACCTGCGTATCCATCCATGAACGAGAGAAGTGCGTGATTTGCTGTGTTATCCACTAGAATATCGAAGTCGTCCTTTGGACTTGCCTTATTTAGATCTCGATAGTCGACACACATTCTTACCCTTCCATCTTTTTTTAGAACTGGGACGACGTTGGCGACCCATTCGGGGTATTTAGATACCTTGATGAAACCTGCAGTTATTTGTTTTTGGACCTCTTCTTTTATTTTAAGTGCTATGTCGGGTTTCATTCGACACAACTTTTGTTTTACAGGTTTCATTCCCGGAATTAGTGGTATAGTGTGTTGAGCTATTTCTCTATTAATGCCTGGCATATCTTCGTATGACCAAGAAAATACATCGATGTATTCTTTAAGCAAGTTAATTAAATCGGTTCTTTCTTGTTCATTAAGTGTTAGTCCGATTTTAACTTCTCTTTTATTGGTTGAATCATTTGAGATATCAATCGTCTCAGTTTCTTCAATTATCGGTGTTTTCTTTTCAAGTGTTTCCATTGCTTTAATAAGTTCTTTATTTTTTTCATTGTTAGTTAAGAAATGCTCGTCATCTTGGGTCAAAGAAGAACACAAGAAGTAAGGAGAAGAAATTATATTATTATACTCTGAGATCATTACATCAAAGAGTGATATGTCCTCAGGGAATTGATCACTAACTATTCTAGGAGAAGAGATAGACAGGGAAGGTGCTACTACTAAAGACCTAGATGACTCTATAGGGAGAGAATCTGACTCTGACTCTGACTCAGGCGACTCTTCGAACATCGGTCCTTGCCCTGTCGTGATGGATATCTTCCTTCCACTTGGAGTAGTCACCTTGACGGTCTTACGCCACCCTTGTAGTGGTCCTTATGCTGGAGTGATTAGCTTCAAAGGATCAAAGTTTTCACTTTGTAGGACCGTTTGAATGAGCGAGGAGTTATCCTCTTTGTATGTCGGCTCATCCTTTTCTCGCCCAAATAGTAGTCCCATGACGTTAAAGTCAAAGCATGGGGGTGCTTTCTCCTTATGGACAGGAGTTGGGATTTCATCTGTGAAATAACAATCCAAGAAAATTTCAAATCCCGGTTGCCTTATGCCGTTTACGATAAATGGTTCGGGAAATTCGTGGCATGGATAGTCCTCTCCTTCTTTTATGAATTGACCATTAAGGGTAAGAGGGTACTGATCCATTGGGATTGCTTTCTTTTGAATGCGAGCGTCCCTACGTGCCTTCGATTTTTCCTGGGCTCTCTTAAAGTCCGAAAATGTCTAATTTAGGGAGGCCAGGTGACTCCAGCGGTTTTGCTATTCCATTTTTCTTTCTTAGGGTCATCCCACGAAAATGTCCTTGTTTCTTCAGAATAGCATTCACGATCATGTTAGAATAGGGGTCGTGGCAGAGAGGGGTCCTTTCATCCTCCTGGATTAAGGAGACCTCTTCGTTAAAGCCCCATAAATCTTCATCATCCTCGTCGTGCTCCACGTTAATTATTGGATTTTCTATAGACTTGGTTCTCATAGGTGAAGCATCGATGGTGATAGGAATTCCCCCAACTATGGCTTTTACTTGTTGGTGGAGAGATGAGGGGACGACCTTTAGGTCATGAAGCCAAGGGCGTCCCAACAGCAAATTGAATGAAGCTTTGATATCTACTACTTGGAAAGTAGTAGCATGTTCTATCGCTCCCACCGTTACATTCATGGTAATTTTACCAAGAGCTTGACGACGAATGTTGTCGTAGGCTCTTATTCCTTGTGTTGACCGGGTTAAATCTTTATCCCTTATGCCTAGCATCCTCGCAGTTCTAAGTGGACAGACTTTGATCCATTGTCTACAAGTCATAGGGATGTTCATTCTCTTGCAAACTACTGTGAGGTTTAATGCCTTATAGTATTTGTCACCTTCTGGGGGCAAATCCTTGTCAGAAAAGGTGATCAAATTTATGGGACTAGGTAGATCACTCGTGAGGAAGTTAGCCAACCCCTCAGGAGTGGTGTCGGAATCTATCTCTATTTTGTCCAAGGCATTCATTACAGCCAACCTATGTTCTCGGGATGTCGCCAAAAGTTTCCATACGTTCATTTCAACTTTTGTTTTCTTGAACTGTTTGACGATATCATTATCTTCAATGATAGGTATGTGAACTTGCTGTGTGGTTGGCATGGGTTGTGTTGAAACGGGAGGTTGCATTCTCCCGGATCTTGCGAGGACGTCTATTGATGAATCTTCTTCAACCCAAAAGTCATCCATGGCGTATGACACTGAAGGTGGAGGTCCTACCATGTCTTTTAAGTAGACGTCTTCTTCGTCGTTGTCCCAAACTCCATTAATACTTGCATCCTCTTCTTGTGGAACTTGGACTAGTTTCTTTTCATCAATCATTTTGTGAATTAAATCCTTGAATTTAAAACAGTTTTCGATAGTGTGACCTCCTGCTTGATGATACTAACAGTAATATCTATCTGTCCTTTTCAATGATTCGAACGGTCTCGGTCCGAGAGGTTTGATCTCGCCACTCTCGGAGAGAATTTCGAACATTTGTATATATGGGATCCCAATTGGAGTGTAGAGTTTATTACTCTTCTTGGGTTTTTCGTTGACTTGAAAAGGAAAATGTTTCGCCTCGTAAGTCGTTCCCATGGGTGTGAACTCTCTCTTAGGTTCATTTTTCGGGAGTGGAACCTCGTCATATTTCTTCTGAAGTTCCTTTACAGCCTTGAGAGTTTCACGTAGCAAGTGTGATCCTTCCATCATAGACAGTGTGAGCGATTGTATGTCCTCTTTACTTGCTAATTTTGGAAGGTCATCCATGGCGTCGAAAAAGATCTCCTCCTCTTCTTCGATGGCATGGATTTCTTTAACAGGTTTGATGAGAGACGAGGGGTCAACCTCGTTTTCCTCATCAGAGATAGCCAAGGAATGAGCGAGAGGCGCATTATCAATACTTGGCTCTGGCAGGGGGCAATGACAGTTTGTTGTTATCGATTAAGTCTTGGATAGCTTTTTTAAGCTTCCAACAGTTCTCGGTGAGATGGCCCCTACCTTGGTGATACTTGCAATGTGCATTGGGGTTCTAGTTAGCCGACCTCTTTTCGACTGGTGGGTCCCCAAATGGTCCAATAGGAGTTATAAGACCTTTTGCATTTAATCGATCAAATGCGGTGTCATAACTCATGCCAATAGGAGTAAAGTTCCTCCTAAATGGTTTCTTTTGTCCTTGATTATTCATAGCAAGGACTTCACCTAGGTTAAAAGTGCTAACATTGTTTGAGTGGGTGGTTTTGGAAGAAGAAGGATTGTCGTTTTTCTTGCCTTTCCAGCCACTGCTAGAGTTATTGTTGGCAGTAGGAATGGCAATGGATCGGAGTGGGGTCGGACCTTACTATGTCCGAATCCGATCCGATTAACAAACGGATCCTATATTCACCTCCAAGTCCGCATCCGAATTCGAACCAACTTCATCCGAATCCGCGTCAATCGGTCTTGGACCTCCGAATCCGAATTCGAATCCGGCAAATTTAAATAGCATTTGGTGATTTTTTTTTCCAATATCTTTGAAGGTTCAATACTTTAATTCAAAAAAATGGTGTAATTAAACATGAAACATAAAGGTGAAAGAAAAGCATGAGCCTGAAATAATTTATTAGCAAATTTCTTAAATTAACAAACAAAAATATAACATAGTATACGAAGTAAAATCAAATCTTAAAAATTCAGATCTAAAAAATGAGTACAAACTATATACATCAAAATCTAGAAGATGTGTAGCTTTGATATTTGAGTCTTCAAAACAATAATAACTCCAGCGCGGCGAAAACTTCTTAAATTGATGCTAATCGTTTAACTGGTAGTATGCAGGTAAAGCAAGAGTAAGAGTTATGAGGATTGAGGAATGTTATCATGAATATTGAGTTATGAACTTATGAAGGTGTGTTTTCAGTGAAAAGTAAGGAGAGAGAAAGAGACAGGGTAAAGAGAAAGAGTGAGAAAATGAAATAAAGGAGTAAAGAGGCGGCTTTTAGGAGGTTTAGGGTTTCTTATTGGGCTTTTATACCAAGTATATAATTATGTATCTACCACATACTTAAAAAGCCGGACTTGGTCGGACTCGAATCGGACTCTTCACAGGGTCCGAATCCGATCCGAATCCTATTAGGACTCGGACTTTTTTATCGGTTTCGGTTTCGGATTTTTTCTATTTCGGATTCGAATCGAACTTTTTCCTTCGAATCGAATCGGACTCGAATCGAATCCGGATTAAATTGCCATCCCTAGTTGGCAGCTTTCAACTTAGCCAGGTTGTCTTCAATATTGATTCCAATGTCGTAGACGACCTTGAAGGTATGGAGATTATTTTGATACTTGAGATGCTTGGAGTATTTTTCTTGAAGGTTTTTGATGAATAACCTTACAGACTCTTTTTCACTTGGCTCCTCAATCATCTTAGTTGAGGTTTCTCTCCATTTGTTAAAGAAGAAGGTGAAGCCTTCGTTCTCCTTCTGTTTGAGGATTTCAAGTTCCCTATGATCAGTCTCAACCACTACTACAAAACTTGGAAAAAAGACCCCTAATTAAAGATCCGTTACCTAACTAACGGGTCTGTTTGATGTAAAAGATCTAACATTAATTATGACGGGTCTCTTATGTGTATTAAAAAAAACTTTTAATAAATAAGAGACCCGTTATCAAACCTAACGGATTTCTTCATTATAATAGGTCCCACATCTTTGAGAAGAGAAGAAAAATAATAGATCTGTTCTATATTATGACGGGTCTCTTACATTATTTGCTCTTCTTGACAGCAGCAATAAGTTCCCCAACATACTCCACTTTTTTTATTTATTAAATCTATCCCTTGAAATTTTTTCACTCTCTCATCAAACCCTCTGCCCAAGCCCAAATTAAAACCCTCATCAAACCCTCTGCCCAAGCCCAAATTAAAACCCTCATCTTTCCGCCGTCATCTTCTTCCCTTGAATCCCTTCTCCATTGAATCAAAACACTACATTCACACTAATATTGGTAAAAATGGGCTCTTTCTCTAATTATCCTCTCATTTTTCTCAAGTTAAAGGGAGATGTGGAAAAATTAACAACATCAATCAACAATCGATTCAACATATCTACAAAAATCAATAATTGCATTCAAGTTTTCCAAAGATCGAACCCTAATGCAAGGTCTACTTCAATTTTTCGAAGGCAGAAAGAAGTTCAACCTCTTGTGCTTATAGATCTAGAAATTATGAAGATATATTGTCTAATTGATGACCTAACTTGCGATCAAAATTGAGGTAATCGATCTATAATTTGATTTTTCGATTTAAAATTTTCTCTCGATATTTAAGATTTGATTATTATTTAACTTTTGAAATTTATTTAATATGTAATTTCCTACCATTCGCCTCTGTATTTTTCTCATATTGAACAAATTTATGAGTTGAAATTTATGAAAAGTACTGCAATTTTTTATGTATGCTTTTATGTATTGTATTTGTTGCGGTCTAGTTGCTTATGAAGTTGTGATTTCTGTCAAGGTTTCATATTAGTTTTCTTGTAAATTCTTGATTACAATTGCTTTCATCTTTGTTTTTGGTTGTAGTCGTATTTTCGGGTCTCGCCTTTGGGGTAATTGCTCTGCATTGGCCGAGATGGTTGTCGTATATCCTTGGAGTTATTCACTTTTACAATTCGTAGTTACTGGTGTTTTCTCTCCCTTGTCAAGTGGGTAATTATGTTGTTTATTAGAGTGTTGGTTGTAGTATGAGTACATTGTTTTCTTAATGAAGAGTATGTAACTTGTATTATTATTTTTTTGTTTTTTCAGGCTTAAATGATTTCATTACACTATATTCTCAAACAAAGGAGAAATGAAATGGAGTATTAAGCGTTGTTGCTGTCACTATAATTGTATATTTCATCAAATTCAATTATATATTTTTTGTTGCAATTTTATGTTGGATGAGATTTTTTGTATAACATCAATTAAATTTAATACATTCCTATTTTCTGTGGTGTTAAATTGTAACTTGCAATTTATGAATTATCTGCCAATTTTTATATAGCGTATTAAAAAAAAATATCAAATAGAAACAAACATATATATATATTTTTTATTAATTTAAAGAACAAAGAGACCCGTTATTTGACATGGTAGATCTATTTGATACCCACTAAACAGACCCCCTATCTCAAATAACAGGTCTATTTTTCATATAAATTATTGATTTTATAACAGACATAACAGACCCGTTATCACATACAACGGGTCTATTTGTCTTGGTAAACAGACCCCCCTAACGAACGGGTCTCTTTATTAAACAGACCCCTAAGTTAGAGACCTGTTGTGAGTCGGTCTCTTAGGCTTCTCTTATGCAATTTTTGTAGTAGTGAACTTGAATGTTGCATTTGTATCTATCAACGAAAGCGTTTGCTATGGACTCCCGGGTGGAGGTTTTTTCTTTCTCGAGAGAAAAGAACCATTGTTGGCAAACGGTCTCGAGAGATAGTGAGAACAGAGAGGGGAACACCTTCTTGTCGATACCCTTAATACTCATTATTGTTTCGAAGGCTCTTAAATGAAAATAAGGGTTATCGGTTGCTTTAAATTTCGGGATGTCGTTGGCATTGAACTTCTGCGGAAGATCTTTGTCCACCGAGACCCCTTGTGAACTAATCCCTTGAAACTTGTAGTCGCTAGATAGCTTGCTTAGACTCTCTTGCATGAGGTCCATCTTTTGTTGTTTCACGGGATCATCGATCTTAAGGGTTAGGAGCTTTAGTGCCTTAGTCACGGTAACCAGTTGGTTCCTGAGCTCATTGACTTCTTGTGTTGCCATTACTGTCCTAGCTTTCCTCTTACGAGCAATAGGTTTGTCAAAAAGTTGGACTTGTACGAAAAGATTTTCTTTGATTAACCGCCCTTCCTTTCTTAACCACGCGCTGTAATTTAAACCATTTGTGTTTTAATTACTTGACTCAAATAGACCTTGACTTTACGGTTTTAAAGAGGAAAAATAAAAAAAAATAGGTGCATATTTTTGGCAAGAATAATGTGTATATTTTTAGAACCAAGTATGGTATTTAAATTGGAGGATTAATATCCGACTTACCCCCCTAAAAAAAATGACGGAAAAAACGCGCATACAAGACTCTCTTAGACATGGTCAAAGTATGTGTATAGGTGTGTGCGCTGAGTGTAAGTGACATGCTTGGACTTTTGTGTAAGACCATGGGACTTGGTGCCTAGACTCAATTAATGACTTAATAAAGTATTATTGACAGTAAAATTTAACCGAATTAATTAGCAAACTGGTTAATTAGACATAAAATGATGACTCGATCAATAATCCGAACTGTCGTCAAAACGACAGAACTGGCGCCTCTCTTTGCAGTGTAGCGCCAGACAACGGAGCTGTCGCCAGGCGCCACACTCCACAGAGTGGCGCTACAGTTCAAACTTTGGCGCCATTGGTGGAGCTTCAATCTGAAACTGTTTTCGGTGTTATTAATCAACAGGGGTATGCCTAAAGTCGTACTAGGTCAATTCTGGTTAAAATATTAGACTTTATTTAGTCAAATTAATTAATTAATTAATTAATTAATTAGGCAAAGTTCTTTTAGTCATTAATTTATTTAATCTTAACACAAGTCAAACAAACGGTTAAGAAAAACATATACCATATGCACAACAAATAATGCGCAATTAGTCAAGTAGGCACGATATGATGTAATGAGTTTGCAACCTAAGCATGGCTCTAGTTCTCTAAAGTTCAAGATATGGGTTAGTCAATAGAGGGTCCATGGTTAATTGTCCGGATGCACCGCGCGGAAGCCTAACTGTGAAGGGTTGGCGCGAGTGGATGGGACACCGCGAGTTTTAGAAAAAAAACTCGCTTCCATTGTTTGGTGAATTTAACATTTTCGGATGTACCCTTTGTTGCTCAGAGCGTTCAATCAGGTAGATGGGGCATGAATTCCCAGGGGGTTATGTCCATATGTAGAACACATATGTGTTTCAGAAAAGTGAGAAAAACTCAATCAGGAAGTAGGATCGAGCGAACAATGCTAAAAACTGGTCGAAATTAGAACGCATATTTCTGGCTCGATATTGGAAGAATTTGGCGCCAACAAACAGAGATTGGCGCCGGTTTTTGGCTGTAGCGCCTGGCGACAGAGCTGTCATCTGGCGCTACAGTCAAAATTCTGGCGCTAATCTTTGTTCGCTGACGCTAATTCCTACATGCCTCAGCAGCTTTCTATGCTCGATAAAATTTTCCAGTTTTGCGCAGTGTTATTTCGGTCCTAGTTGTGAAAGATATTCCTCAAATTTCCTACGTGTAAAAATCCTATGTTTTAACTCATTACGGATGGTCTTTCCAATGGGATCTTTTTTATGCATATGAGAATAATGTTAATCAAAATTACGCACATGAAATACTTAGAACGTTTCGAGTCTCATCCACTCATTCTAAATCATTGCCGAAATAAATTTCAGGAATTAAAATAGAAATCCTCCCTAGTGGAGTCGCCAAAAGCTGTAGGGAATATTTCAAGTGTTAACCCCTTGCTTGAACCCCACTGTGATCATACACTAAAGTACGGTGGCGTCCAAAGAGAAAGAAGATAGAGCAAAACAGTCGCCAACAAGTTTTTTTAGGAACTTGTAAACCGTTCACGAGGTGAAGGTTACACCCCTTAACGATCCAAGAGATCGTCAACTCCAATAGGTCTTGAACCATGACTGGTAGTTCGGGGATGAAGGTACAAATCCAACCTAAAAGAGATTGAACCTCCCCTAATAATAAACCTCTACTTTATTCTGATCGTACTCATGTGCGCTTTCTGACTAACATGCAATCAATAGGATTACCCTAAACCTGTTTAATCTATGTTGGTTGAATATTAATGCACAAGAAATTATATTATTGGCGATCACTTGAATTATAATCAAATTAACCCTAAACAAGATTAGTAATTATCTTATTAACCGTGATTACAAGTACAAATTCCCTTTAAACATGCATAAAAGGCGTGATCAAGCAATAACAATAAATATCAAGCAACATAATAATAATCATAATAATCAAAATCATAATAACAAATTATAATTAAAGTAATCATGTTAAAGCATAATAATAGCAAGATTCTAGGCATGATACTAACAAGATTAATAACAAATCCTAGCATGTCACTAAACAATAAAGATCAAAGCTTTAACCCTAACATGATACTAACAATCATAAATATTAGGAAGAACATAGGAAGCATCATACTTTTAATCATACTTGATATTAAAGTTACCCTAGACATGATACTAGGAATTTATTGTTGTCACCCTAAACATCAAATTAAGGAAAACATCCTAACATGATACTAGGAATCATAATAACTACCTAAGCATGATATCTACATCATAATATCAATTAAACCATTAAAGTACTTATTTGGATGCCTCGTACCTCTTTCTAATAACAAAATACACGCGTTAGTAACTTCAAGGAAAATAATAATTAAAACAATTAAATTAAATAATGGAAAGAGAGATTTGGGACCAAACCCTCAGAAATTAAACCTTTCACGTCTAGGGCGAAGGCAACTTCGAATATGGCTAGGTGTATCTAAGTCTTGCGAATGCGGAATTTTGTATTTGAGAGAAGGCTAGTTTAGAAAAGAGAGAGAGAGAGTAATCAAGAAAATCTTGATGAGAGTTGGTGAATGAAAACGGAGTTTTTAGAAGACTATTTATTGAGAAAATCAACCAAAAAGATAAAAAATAAAAACAGAGTTCTGATGCGTAAAACGAGGTTAGCGCCAGACGCTGACATTAGCGCCAGGCGCTAACGCTAGCGCTAGGCGCCAAGCTTAGCGTCAGGCGCTAATGCTGGCGTTTGGCGCTAACTTAATTATTGACGCGTTTTCTTAAAATCAGATAGAAATTGCCGTACAGGAGGATAAAATCGTATTTTCCTCAAAAAACGTTCTTTTATTCTAATTAAAACTCTAAAAAGTCAACAAAAGTCAATTTATCAATGCTAATTGAATTAGGAATGAAAAGAACCTTTTAGAAGAATCTAGAAGACTAAAACCATTCCTAATTGCATTAGGAATGATAAATCCATGTTAGGCCCTCCTCTAGATCATTGGGCCGCATATAAGGCTCAAACCGGGCCCAGTTCGGTAATTTGACCATAACTTCCTCAATATTCATCGGAATTGGGCTTATAATATATCGTTGGAAAGCTCTTTTCAAGCCCCATAAAACTACACTACTATTGGACCAATATAATGGACCAACCAAACTGGATTGACTGTTTTCTTAAAATAGGTTTTCAAAAACAGAGAGAAAAGAAAAGAAATTAAAACTATCCGCAACACTAAACTTTCCACACTTTCACTTCATTCGATTATGATTCGACGTGAAAGGTACTCATCACTGGGTTTGGTTTTGGGGAGACACAAATGGGTGTCTACAACGGTTTGGGGGGATTTTCGGGTTTTATTTTCTTTTTCTTTTATTTTATATTTCTTTCTTTTATTTTTATAATTAGTTTTCTTATTTTATTTTTCCTTTTTACTTTCTTTTCTTTTCTTTTACTTAGTATTCTTAGCTTAGTATAAATACCCAATTTTGGGGTAAGTAGAAGGGGGAGGAAAACAATTACCATCTATTCTACTTTCTAATTAGTTTTTAGGAGAGCTTCTCTCTCTAGGTTTAGGTTAGGATTAGGATAGTTTAGAGAGTGAAAGTAAGGGTTTCACCATTGTTGAGCTTGGATATTGAAGAGGAAGATTGATCATCTTACTTGTAGATTTTCACATTCAATCAATGAGAATCTCTAACTCTCTCTCCTATTTTTTTATTTGCTTTATTTTGATTATTATTTTAGTTGTTGGTATTGCTTGTTAATCATGTCTATTCTAGATTATTTGTTAATTAATCTTGTTATTAGCATGATTAGTGAGTAATTTCCCCATTAAGGGGATGGTTGTGGTGTAGTTGGATCTTGAGCATGTTCTAGGGTTTAGAATTGATTTATTTGTGATTAAAGTCTTTATTTGCTTGATATTCTTTAATCTTCTTAC